AATGGATAGCAGCTACAGCAGTTGGTACCAGCATGTATCCAACCACACAGCAACTGCCTCGGTTAAAATATTAATTCCTTCCCATAATTTTATCATCATTTTTTATTTTAACTCTAAAAATATCTTAATACCTGCAACTTTCAGGGGATAGGTGGGAGCATGAGACAAACCAGTGTGGTTATGCTCTATTTTAATATATTTTTAATTATTTACCATTGTTTTTACTCAAATAATTCATACTCCCCTTCTTCCACATGAGGAAAGCATCTCCCATTGTATATTAAAATATAGGAGCTATAGAAATGGTCTAATTAAAATAATTTTTGAGCAAAAGGTCTTTACAATGTTAGATTTGGGTTGGGGTTTTTTTTTTTACAATGAAAATGCAAATTAAAATGTCATTTACTGAAGAGGAGGAATTGTGAGAGGTTACAGGGAGAAACATGAGTAATAAAAGGGGAAAAAAAAGAGGGGGAATAAGTTCTCGGTTATATAATTAGCAGTGAACTAGGATAGAAATATAAAAGAAATGGTCCTGCCAGCACTCATTATGCCCTAGGGAATAATGTGTGCTGAGCTGCTCAACTCACATCACGGCACTGTCTCAAGTCTGAAAAAGCACTGCGAGGAGCGAGCATTGCACACATGCTTTTGTGCATCAGAGAAGAGATTATTTTGCAGGGAACCAATTTTCAAATGGGCAAATGTTTGATCAACATATCTTAGATGATAGACCTATAGTGAGTTGAGAGGTTGTTAGAAGCTAGGTGGTTTTTTTGGTTTGGTTTTGGTTTGGTTTTTTTTTTAATTAACCTTAATAGGATCATACAACAACCAACCGAAGGGAAACATGACCCTTCTTGCTTCTCTGTACTGCTGGACATTGGCTGCTTGTATCTTGGCATGTGTGCAGAGGACAGGAAAAGGCTTGTACGCTCATTGTATGTGTACAAAGAGCAGATGACCCAGTATCACCTGCTGCCTAGGAAAACAAGCCAGGCTGCATGAGAGCCTCCACTAAGGCTCAAAGGGTTGCAGTAATTTTTCTCCCAGAGCAGGTGACTGTGCAGAAGAGTGGTAAGTGTGAGTCACAGCGCTGTCCTGGCACTCAGCCTCCCAGGAGCCCAGCGCTTTGTGCAGCACAACAGCTGTATCTCCCTGCTGAGGCTCGGATGAGCAAACACAGAGCCAAGCAACAGGGCAGCAACTGTTCTCACCGCACAGCCTCACTGGTTTCAGACGCTAACGGGACTGCACGCTTCCTTTATCAGATTTAATCTGGAGAGCCCGCTTTTCCTAGTACTGCTGCAAATGAGTCTGTGCCTGAGATTTGTTTGGGTCACCTGCTCCAAGATCTGACACCATGACAGTGCCTTCAAACATGTTTATTTAGCCTTACTGATGGCACTGCCAAAATGCACAGTTAACAGTGGGCAGCAAGGTTGTATGGAAGGTGATGGGATTTTGTGGTTTTAAAAAAATACATATAAAACCCACAAAACCCAAACAAACAACCCAAAGCACCAAACTCTGACTTGCTAGCAAGCGCTGAACTCAGGTATGCTATAAAGAGAAAACAGAAGGTTCCCACCCTGCCTAGGTAAACACTAAAGCAAAACACATAATTCACAACAATTTTTTTTATTCCATTACAATGTTGCCTCTGCTGTTTCTAAGCAAAATGCGATCTTATCGCTGGTATTTTCACTCTGTATTGCTTACAAATTTTTTTCTCTGTGGTAATGAACATAAGCCTGCACAATGACAAACCTTTGAACCTCTTTGAAAGCACGAGTGAATCTAGTTAGCCCAAGTATTTGTCATGAAACACAAATGTTAAGTACTGGATACTGTACACACACAGAGCCTTTTAAAACTCGTTGCTTAGATCCAATGCACAGGGCTTATTAATGCAAATAAAGAAGACACCTAGAACTGCTTTCCCCTCACTAGTTTTTCACATGGACTTCTGTCTGACTTTGCTAGGACATGCTTGGGGATTTGTTTACTCCTGTGGAAACACCAGAAGCCCAAAACAGAGGCTTTCTCAAAGGACTTTTTGGAGGAAGTGGACAAGCTTTTGACAGAGAGGAGCTTTGTAAGTAATTTAGTGGGTTGTTTTTTTGTTTGAGGGGAGGTTTTTTTGGTTTTTTCCTTCAGAAATTAATTCATGGGAGCCCCTGTCCTTGTCATCTACGAATAGAGTGGTATACAAGATTGAGTTCGTTGATGAAAAAATAAAGATGACATCATGAAGAAAGGGCAGCTCCTTTTGAGCATTTGGTGGAGGGGTGTGGGGTGTGGAGTGTGTCCACGACTGCACTGTAGCTGTGCCGGTGCACAGAGCAAATGCTTCCACATGTGCCATCTGCACATCGCATGGCATCACTGCTGCGAGGACGAGAAGCACTGACAGGGCCATGTCCAGCACCTCATCCCTGTCTGTCCGTTTCTCCTTTGCAGTTGGCGAGGCCACAGCAGGAAAAGCCTCTCGCAGTCTTGCCCAGCACATCCCTGGATCGGGTGGAATTGAAGGCGTGAGAGGAGCCGCAGGAGGAGTCATCGGGGACTTGACTCGTGCACGCATTGCCCTTGATGAGAGAGGACAGAAACTGGGAGAACTGGATGAAAGGACTGCGAGCATGATGGCCAGCGCAGAGGCATTTTCCAAACATGCACACGAGGTAGGGGCACCGGCACCACACACCCAGAACTAGGAACCGTGAACCCTGCAACTGAGCCTTTGCTTCCCTTTGGGACCATTGAGTACCATTCTCCCTGGTCACCCAGCCATGTTGGTTTAAGTGTACTCAGGTTAACCGAGACGCCCTTTTTCCCACTCCCAATGAGAATGCCGAAAATGAACTTCCATTGCGCACCCCTCCCTTTCATATTTTCACAAATGAGCATCCATTGGTAGCCTCTGAATTTGGAACATGGCACTTACTTATCCTCTCTTGCCTTTCTCACTAATTCATTACGATTTTTTTTTTTTTTTTAAAGCCACTTAGTGCAGCACATCTATATGCAGTAGGGCAGAAAACAGGTAGGTGGATGTGTATATAGGAACCTTTACAGATCTTACTGGGAAGAAGAGGAGAACATTTCAAGTACAACACTGTGGTACAGTTATGTAGAATAGGGCTTGTCTGGAATAGACAGATTCTGTGCTTGGAGCTGGAAGTGGAAAGCTCTCCCATCCCACGTTCTTAAGGCTGGCAATCAACTAAAGTGATTTTTCTTTGAAGATAAAACAACATTAAAGAATACTTCCCAAAATGGATGTTTTTCATTTAAAATGCATCACATGTCCAGACAAGACCTTTACAATTTTATTGGGTTTTGTAAGTGTGAGGCAAAAAATACACAGAAAGAACGTGCCCTGAAATGCAAAGAGTTTATATATTCAGGACATATCTGCTGTGCGCCATAGATAAGTTTCTTTGTATTGGAGTAAAAAAACCAAATTCCTGGTTATTCCCACACCTCTGTACCTTTTGCAGAAGAAAAGTAGTTAAAGCTCCTCAGGAAAAAAATCTTGTAATGAACAGCAATAGCAGGTAACTTTTTTTAAAAAAAATGTAGCAATTATGAAATTAAATACAAGGTCTCAGTAGAATCAAGACCTGATGATACTGTTAGTAACATACTGCATTGCTCTTTCTTTTTTTTACTTACAAAGTCTGTGACAGTTAACGAGCCTAGGTCATGTGTGATACCTCATATGCAGAGCAGTGTTTTATATCTGTCTGTTTGTTTCCCATTTCTGTAGGTGATGCTGAAATATAAGGACAAAAAGTGGTACCAGTTTTAGACTTTCAAAGAAGCTGCTTGTGGCTTTAAAAACACTTTTCAGGGAAGCAACATTCATTCCCAACTCTACCAGTCACTGGCCAGAGACAGTTTTTTTTCTCCTAGAAGATGTTTTCCTGTTACTATTATTGGATTCATCACAGTGGGAGTCAAGGAGAAATTTTAAAGACCATGAGATGGAAGCTAGAATCAAGAGGGACTTACTCTAACAGCTGGCTCATGCAGTAGCCAACTTTTTTTCCAAAAGGAACTCAACCATCACTGTGGCATGTAGTTTTTCAGAAGCTGTAGGTATGAACTGTGGGGAGTGCGTCTGGTTAAAAATACTCTGTACAAATTCGAATGTTAATGCACTTATAAAACATTGCATGACTAATTTGACATCTTAAAAAAAAAAAAAAGAGAAAATGAAAGCATGTTGTGACCGAAGAAAAATGGGATTTATTTCTATTCTGAGGAAAAAAGAAATACTTAAATGGCAAAAATCTTTATTTTTTAAAAGTGACATTACAAAAAGCCAGTACATTTCAAGCATGTTTGCCACCATGTCAACATAGAAATGAGGTGAGCTACATTTTCTTATCTGCTATTTATTTCCCTTGAAAAACCTTGCTTGAAATCCGTGCTCTTTAACTGCTACCAGAAGAATAACTAACTTCAAAATCCTATGTCCCAAATTTACAGATTTTTCAAGTAGCGAGACAGGCACTATCTGAAATGTCATTAAAACATAAGCATAGATGGTTTCTTTGCAATTCAGAGCACATGACATCCTTATCTGTACTTTTTAAAATGTGCTCTAGATTCATCTTGCTTGTCCTTGAAAGGGGTCTTGCAGCATTTTTCATCCCTGTGGTGGCTGTAGCACTTAGTTGCCTTATTTCTCAGCAGCTTAGGAGAGCTCTTCTTCAAGATAGGAAAGGCAAGATGGGAAGCCACAGGGCTACAAGTTGGAGACTCCTGTTGAGTTCTGCTCACAGAAGCTGCAGAGCAGTGGTATTTTTTCTTAGGCAGTCTGTTGAAATTATGCTAAGGAAACAGCACAGTAACATCCCCCTCCTCCCACCCCCCCAAAGCTGGGCGAGAGGTCACGGCAGCAAGACAAAATGATGGGCTGGGGAGGAGCATGAAAAACAGTTGTCAACATAGGGTGCTGAATTGGCACGCATATAAAGTGACACCAGGGGTGAGTGGCAATGGATTTTTCTGCTCACATTGCTAAAGGTAATTTGCTTCTCCTTCAGCGTGGCTTGTTCTGCAGAATGAACTCTGCAGAAAACTCTCTAATGCAGAGCTACAGAAGAGAACAGAAAGTAGAAGCTATTACTGTCTAGGCAAATAGAGTCCTAGTCCATGAGTGTGCTGCAGCCACAGTAGTCTACGAGAGCCTTGCTGCCACGCAGATCAACCGTTCAGTTAGAAATTTTTCCAAGATGGGCTTGGAAACAAGGTACTGAAAGCTTATTTTCATGTGCCTGGACATAGTTTCAAATTAGAAAAGGAAGTGAGGAAAAGGTGGAAAAGGAGCATTTAAAATTTTTCTATATGAGTGACATCCTCTGTCCCTTCTGGGAGTCCTGACAGACACTGATGCAGACAGGCAGCATCCCCCTCCGAACTAGACCGTAACTTCACTGGTGTTTATATCATCCCAGTGTTCAGATCTCTCAAAGATGCCTTTCCCATATCCTTCCTTTTCTTACAACAAATTGGAGCCCAGGAAATTGTACAGTCCAGAAGTTTGGCTTAACAGTCAGCCCAGCTGCACAAGCTGGAACAGATCTGAGGTGTCAAGTTTTAAATTCAGTGTTAGCACAACAGAAATTTCATGCTTTACAGGATATAAACATTTCTTGGTGGGCAAAAATCAAAATGATGGCCCCAACAGGTCTAGCTCATCTGGGAACTGAGACTCAACAAGTTCCTCTCTGTCACAGGAGAAACTGCTCTATAATTGTGAGAACTGTGGAAATTTGTTGGGAGCAAAGTCAAAGCCCAAGCAATGCTTAGGTGTCTGCTGAGCAGTAAGGAACTGGAGTTGTCCACAAGCCGAGAGGATGTCTGCGTGCAGGTGTGTGAGGAAACAGCAAACTCACCTCTCTGGTGCCAACAGGAACTGGGCTGGGGTGGGTCTTCCCGCAGCCAGGTCACCAAACCGGCCACTTGTGTGTGTGAGGAAGCACCACTGTAACCAGGCACCTAGAGCAAGAAATAAATGAGAGCAATGTTACAGCAATTGTTTAAATGTATATTTGCTCTGGCCTGTACTCCAAAGCCACTGGTCTCTGGGCAACAAAATCATTTGGGGCAGCTTTCAAACCCTCCAGCCAGCTTTATCGACCTTATTCTTCCTGCCCTCTCTGCTTGTACAGAGAAGCAAAGCAGGCTGCATTAATACTGGGCCAAGGCCGCCCTACCACTGTTGGCGCTGTACCCAAGTCCACGCTGGCTTCTGCCCCAGGCTGGTTGTGCAGATGGAAAGGCAGCGCTAGTGCCAGTTCTAGCACAGCACCAGTTTGCACTATGAACTGGTGTGACACAGTCAGTCTTTAACAACGCAGCCTGGGTCAGCAGTGGTGCATGGTGCGGGGCCAAGGCAGCAGTCAGTTCATTGCCACGACAAGGAAGCTACTGGTTCTGCGTAAGTTTTCGGGTATACCTCACGTGGGTGGCTAACATTGCAAAAGTCCCCGTTACCTTGATTTCAGTGGAAATGTCTTCGGGCTGGAGCTAGCGCCCGCTCGCCCGTGTAAGAACCAAATATAAAAAGCTTAAGAGCAACTTTTACTCGCTAAGCACTACAGCACACCCAGAGAGAAAAGTGTCTTCAACAAGTCATTTACACAGCGCCTGACTGACTTTGGCTGCCAACAGTCTCTAGCTTAACACCGGGGGCGGGGGACAAACCTGTCAGTAGATTTCCATTTGCATTTTTATGCAACAGAAAAATGAGAATCTAGCAGCCCTCAAACTTACAATTTTTAATACTAAACTTTTAAGTAACTTTTCTCTAGTACTCCCCATCAAGTCACAGCTGTATCGTGCTTTCCACTCTCATATATTTTACATATTTCCAGACAGTTACAAATGACTATTTCTGTTCAGTTCACCACTTGTGACTATAATTATCAATTTTCTTGTAGTCTGTAGAGATCTAAAAAGTTGTATATGTTTGTATATAGAACATACTATATATAAAAATATATATATGTAATGTATATGTTGTATAAGTTTGTTAGTGCACACTGTTAAATGCTTTCTATCAAAATTTATCATCTATGTGGGGGAAAAAAAAAAAAAAAAAAACCAAACAACAAACCAAACTTCACTTAAAAACTTCAATGAGGGAGGGAAAAAACAAACTCTTGCCTGGTTGATTTATTGTGAAATGAGGGGGAGTGTGGGATTTTTGAAAGGCCTGACCTGACGACTACTAAAGGAATAAAGCTGTGGCATTCTGAGCAAGGAGCACAGCATCTGACCTGACCTGCTGTGAGAAAAACTGAGGGCAACAGATGTCGCTGGGTGTTGAACTCATGTGCTTTCACCGTTCCCGCTAAGGCAGCACCACCTCAAGCAAAATCCTAAACTTAGAGGTATCGTCAACATTGCAATCCTCAGTAACAATAGCTCAAATTGGCTGGAAATATTTCTTCAATTTAAAATGCTTTTTGTTCATCTGGATACCCTGTTCCCTCACCTTCTTTACAGGAGTACTCAATCACAAGCACATCCAAAACAGACACACAGACCATCCAACAGCGCGCGTGCACACACCCCCCCCCAGGTCTGACCAGATGTGTTTCAACTTATGCACAGAGCTGCAGATAAGCAGAGTATACACGGAAAAATACATTAGATTATTATTTATTTTTATATACATTTTCACAGTTGGCAAGTCTTCAATGAAGTACCAGCTATTTTATTTAAAAGACTAAAATCCATTCCTAGAGTTTTAACTTACGCTTCATGTCTTGAATTAAAAGACAAGATAAAGGAAAATTTGAGAATCAGGTTTTGTTTTGTATAATGACCTATTTTCTAAGGTTTGGTTTTCTTTACAGCTCTACAGTTCAACTAGACATCAATTAGACTTTCCCTATATTACCAGAATATAGCTTCTTACACAAATATTTAACAGAACCTTACTACACATATTATATAAAATTATCACATAAATAAATTCTCTAAAACCATTTACATCATACTCCTTTTTTTACAGAAGCCCTTTCACACCACACTGTGTACATTGTAATGAAGATATGCATACAATATTATTTTCAGCACACAATTTAACAAGTGAAGAAAACACTGCGGCTTAATAGCTCCTCCATTTATAAACTCTGTGCATTGTAACACAGTCAAAAAAGCCAGTTTTCAGTTAATTATGGCCCTTACATACCCTGCTCCTCCATATATCCTTTTCCCTAACCTAAAGGTGAATTCAAGCACAGTATATTTATTTCAGTCTTGAATGGGTTGGGGGGGGGGTTGCCTTGGTATGGTTTCGGTAAGAACACACTCTCTCTCATTAAGGAACTACGTGTGGCCATTTGTAGTCAACTCTTCATCGTAGGTGTATAAGCAATAGTCACGTAAATGAGTGTTTCCATTCATGTGTTTTGTTTTGTGATTAAATCAACAAATCAAACGTTGTACTTTTTTAAATAGCCGCCAATATTCAGATTCAGTGTCAAGGAAATGTGTACAGAATACATGTTGGGTTTGTTAATGAGTCATTACCTGTATTTCAGACCGAAGGCTAATCTGGGGTGAACCACACACTCCTGCGCTAACCGTGTCCTGTTTCCACAGGTATCCTAAATCAGTGTCACAAAAGGAAAATTAAGGCATCTTTAACTGAGGCTGTTTTGAGTCCCCAGTAAAAACCAAAAAAAGAGGGAAAGACAATAAAGGAAAGAATTGATATTAGTTGGTGTAGATCTCTCTTTTTTTCAACATTTACTCCTAGATTCTTTGTAGTATTTCAAAAGTGCACGGCTCCAGCCCTTGGATGGAGTTTACACTAACTCACTCAGATGTACAGAAAAATGCAGCCATGGTTGTTGCTGGGGTGGGGACAGCCACCTCCCTTCCTCCAGCAGCTTGTGCAGGGACAAAACCTGGTCCCCAGCTAACGCTCCTACGCCTTACTGCAGGCAGCTCACATGCCGCTCGTCATTGTAACACCAGTCCCCAGAACACTAGCCTTGGTACCTGGGCTTCTCAGCCCTTCACCTCACTTCCCCCTCATGGTAAAAACAGTCACCTACGAGCTGAAATCTCACTGAAGGGCAGAAGCGAGCTCGTCAAAGGGCACTGACCAACAACACGATTGAGTTGCTCTGCCAGGAGAGGCTCAGAAACGTCAGCCAAAGCTACTGAGCTTCCAGCTCCCGCTTTTCAGCTACGGACTTAGAGAAAAAAAAACAGAAAAAACTACAACTTTCTTCTTGATAAAATGCAAATACCATGGGGGAAAGGCAAAAGGACTGAATAAGATAAGATTATGTGTATGTCATCTTTTGTGACCTGCCTCTCTCCTACTTCTGCCCAGCTACAAGAAAGCACCCAGAGCACTTTCAGTAGATGGGAGTAGAAGGAAAGCTGCAACAGAAAGTCCAAAGCAAAACAAGCTTGTATTCTGCATGTGAGGAAAAGGACTGAGTAGCTGTATCAAACCTCAAGGGCAGGCGTTCCTGCTACTGAGTCCAGGGAAGTTCTGCCCAATAGCAGTAGTAGGCTGGATCGAAATTTGAGTCATTTTGAAGAGAAAGCAGATAGGAACCGAATGGAACAAGGCTGCTCAGCAGCCAAAGGGCACAGGCTCTTCCCTGCAAGGAGCTGGGTCATGCAGGTTCACCTGGTGTGAAGACAAGGTGTTCCTGGTGACCACAGGTATTTGTCAGGACTGGATCCCACCCAATTTCTTTTGGCAGCCAGACACCCACCTGCTGGTGCAGCAGCCAGGCAAGGGCAGCGCAGGGCACAAGGCGGGACTAGGCTGCAGCAGCAGTTCCGCGCACACTGAGTAACAAGGCTGCTGTAACAAACCTGACTCCTACTCCTTCTGCAGTGTTCATCTGTCGTCTTCTCGGGCTGCCGGACCACGCGTGTTACTGCATGTACTGTGTGGTGCCAGCTAACGGGAGGCAGGAGTGGACTGCAAAGAGACACACACACAAACCAGCTGAGGAACACAGAGCAAACACAATCACATGCATCCCATCCTGTCTACAAGAAGACAGAGAGTAACCTGCACTCTGGTTATTGGGTCCTGAACTAGAAAAAAAGCCCAGTTTCCAACTAAGCACAGGCCTCAGCCCATCAGAGATGGGGGGGGAAGGGGCCCACAGGCAAAAATAAGTTAGTAATGCAAGCAGCCAACCTCATTCTACCAGAAAATAGCAGGTACCCTCTTCTGCGTAGTTCTAAGCAGTGCCTCTGCTTACCTGACCTAAGCTCTCTTCTGCTTCCCCTGCTTAGTCTCACTAATAGTTCAGGTCTAATCAGAATCAAGGAATGTAAATAGCAGCAATCAGGCAACAACAGCTCAGAGCCAGTTCTAATACCATGACTCAAACGCCGCAGCCGCTTCACTCGCAGAGCAGTGGCCACCTTTTATCTTCTCATTTGCTCCAAATTACTACTTAATTAAAATTAACTCATAGAGTTTGCTTAGCAAAATAGGTTTAGTTCTGTGTCAATCCCCTTATTGATTAGCATCACCCCTGTTTAGAGAGCTTGTTGGGAAATAGGCATGACATCCATCCTTCTGAAATTCTACAGACAGTATCTGGGAGGAAAATATCGTAGTGTGCCAAAGAACAAGCAACTCAAATTACAGCAACTCCGGTGAGGCCTGAAATACAGCACAGGTGTGTCACCACATGACACCCAGGGACAGGAAATCATTAGGCCATGTGAATTGATAATAAGTCCAACCCAGCATCTTCACAGGCAGAGCACACAAATGGTCAGACACCAGGGTGCCAAGGCTCAGATCTGTTAATAACAAAAGCTTTAATAAGCTAAGAAACAACTGTCAACCGAATGCTGTGGATAAAGAGCTCAGCCATGAGGTGACAGGGGTGGTAGAAAACCACAGTATACAGCAGGCAGGAAAGAAACAGAAAATCTCAGCATAAAGTGAAACATGAAACAGGAAAAAAGGCCAAGTCGGTGCTGAGAAGGGCAGTCCAGGCATCCTCGCCTGGGGCTCTGACTCGATACCACGGGTCTGTTTTGCTGCACGACAGGCAGGTGGTGGATCAGAGACCAGAATGCGGCCTTTTGTACACAGGCCCATTAATATCTTTTTAAAACTCACCATGTTCTTGAAACCTCAGTGCCAGGTACTTCTGATGTCAGGATAACGGCCACGCCAAAAGCGCCGTATTTGAAGTTAAGAAGCTCAAGCACACTATCGGGCTGTTGAAAGCCAAGCGTGCATCCTCTCAGATCAGGTTATAAAGGCAACTTCAAAAGCACACTTCTGAAAAAGGATCCAGCAGAAGTTCAGAAAGAATAATTAGGGGCTTGAAAATTTCTCACAGGAGGCAAGAACGGAAAGGTGAAAAATCGCTTACATTAGGGAGGAACTGCAGAAGACATGATATAATTCGAGGCGTAAAGAAGATGACGGGAGGCATCTGTCCTCCCTTTCTTGTAACATACAAGGGCTACACAATAAAAATAACAGAATTCCGGGTCAGGCATTGTATGGAGTTAAAACCAGCTGAACTTGTATAACCATCGCAACCATGTGGAAGGGAAACGAAACCATGTGATGTGAGGTTTAGCCAGACCAGAAAGTATTAGTGAGGAGAGTAATGCCAAATAGTGGCAGATTAATTCCCTGTGAGCTCCTTCCTTGCCCCCTCTTTTGAAGCATCTGATCCCAGCAGCTGACCTGAGTCAGTCTTGGGACCAGCTCAGCTTGACGAGCCCAAACTCCCAGAAAAACTGTCTGCCTGATCACGAGGATTGGAGTCAAAGCCACTGAGGCAAAGCGCAGGGGAAATCTGAGCGGTTTTTTAGTGAGGCTACCAACAGGCAGAGGATGAGGCTTCCCTAGGAGACGGGTCTCTGAATGAAGATCCACAGGTCACCCACCACCGTTCACTGACACCTCTCTAGCACCAGACTGCTAACACCAGCAAGACTGTCACTTCAGCTGGCCAGACTGAGAGGTTTTGTTTTTTCTTCACAAAAATACAAATTGACGTTAAGTTTTTAACCAGTAAATTGGGTTTCATTCTTTAAAAAGGAATGGGTTTGCTGGTGATTTTGTGTTAACTGTAAGAGAGTCCAGACAACACCCCTCTCGTTTGCAAGGTAGCAGTAGGATGAATTAGGGCAATCAGTCACCAAAACGCTTCCCTAAAAGTCAGAGGCCAACCAAGCCCTGGTTCCACTCACTGTGAATGCTGCACAGCTGCTCAAGGAGAAATCCAGCAAGCAGTAAAGCCACCTGAATATCAGCAGCAGAATTCAGTACAAAATGATCCTAGCAGAGGCCTGTAAAATTCAACAGTAAGCGCAAACACGATGACCTTTTTTTTTTTGTTCTAGACACAATTACACACCAGAACTGCCAAATTATCTTTGCACCTTGTTTTAATAAAATAATCCAGCTTATTTCATCTGTAATAAATTCATTAGGCTTTGGGGTTTTGTTTTAAATTACAAGTTCAAACATATTTTGACAGAATTCATTTAAATACTGTGCTTTTAGCAATTAATAGTTTCACAGTTCTGTAAACATGCTTCGCTGCACCATCTGACCTCTGAAGGGTTCGGCTTGAATTCATACCAGCTTCCACCACACCTTTCAGACGGCAGCTGTCAACAATGTCTGTAGAAAAACGACACGGGAGGATCACGCCACGCGCAGGTCTGTCGCCAGCTCTTGCCCTACCCAGTCCATGGTGCCTTCCGCCTCTGCATTTCATGTCAGAGCTCCAGGTCCTGCAGGTCTCCCCAGCTAGGTCCAATCTTCACTTTAACATTCAGTTTTACCGAGAGTTTGATGGCGTTTTCCATCTCATGCTTGACAATCTGAGCGACCTACAAGTAAAGGCAAGACATCAGATGTACGTGTAACTTCAATGCTGTTTTTTTCTCAATAGTTGGGGTGGCTGTACACCTGGAGTCCTCCTCTTCTGTGTTTATTTGCCCTGACTTACCACTGATGGGAATGCAACCAAACATTTTAATCCTGATTAGGCTTTCTGAATGGAGAAACTGTATAAAGCCAGTAACATTTTATGCAGCACAGAGTTGTGAATGGTTCCGCACTGTTGAAGACTACTTAGAAACAAGGCAAGATTAAGTTTCCATAAATACTTGAGAGTCCTGCAGAGTCTCCTCTTTCACCCAGCTGCATAATTCTAAGTGTTTTGTGGAGTCTGTTCTGAAAACTGCTATGTACTGACGGCAAGACACAAACCAAACACACCACAGGCAAAGAACAGTGTTCCTCCTGGATTGCTTATTTGAATTAATCTTTCAGTCCACACCCATCCCACAAATCTTTCCACAGCAGAATAAAAAGAGGCTTTGAAATTATTGTGATTCCTCACCTCAGCTAGAGGCCACTGTGTCAGTGCAGGAACTACTCAAGCTTTCTGACCCTTCCGTGCATTTTCGTAATTCCCTCACAGGTATCCACAGTAGAAATTCCTCCGCAGTTTTTAGTGGGGAATGGAGGAGGGATTTGAGGAGATCAGCACAAGAGTTTACAACAGCATTAAGAACTAGGGGGAGATTTGTCTTCCAAAACGCTACGCCCTTACAAACCGCATTTCAAAGTGATCTTGATAACCTAGAAAAATGCTTTGAAATAGGATGTAATTCAGTACAGACGAGTACAGAGTATAAAGAAGCAGGGTAGAGAACTAGGATAGAAATAATCTACTGTTCAAAGATAGGATGAAAAATAACTGCCTGGGCAGGAAAAAAATGGGGTTATCAGACATTAAAAACTGAACAGGGCTTAAGCAAGGCACACTGTTGTGAGAAAGCAAGCAAATGCGATTCTGGAACACAGAAAATATTGCTTGTGTGACACACAAACCAATTTTCCACTCTATTCAAACCACCCCAGCCTTGATCAAGTTTGAGGCCTGGTATTTCAAAAGAAACATGAACTATACAGAGGGAGATTCTCTGAGAATCCCTCCACCAGCGAGGAACATCAGGTTAGGGCTGCTACACCTAGAACAGCAGCTGCAGGGGAGACACGAAAACCTGTGTGAGGTTCCTGGGGAAGCAGATGGGATGAGACAGGACACAGGCCAACGCCGTGGGGGTCTTTGGGCTCTGAATTTCCTGTACATTAAGCAAACAGCACTGTTTCCAGGGTTCTCAATGGTCAGCTAAAATGTGCTTGGAGGAATACCGGGCACCTTAAAAACATAGATGTACTGGGAACAACCAAGCAGTTTAGAAGCATCCTTTGATTCCTAATCTAGTCCATACCTTTATGTTCCTACCTAATTCCACGTTGCCAGGGTCAGCTCAACAGGTAGAAGGTCAACCCTCTTTCTACCATCTTTGGCAATATTATCACAGTCTTGCTATTGTGATAAGCTCTGAAAGCTCCCTACCTTCACTTTAGTGTTCTGCACAGACTAGGAAAGCCCTGATCCCCTAGGCATTTCACACCTTTACCACAAGAAAAAACAGGTATTACCCCAATGTGGTCTTTTAAAAGAGGCAAGCTAGCTCACTAATAGACTGCAAATGAAAACAGAACCATCACTAGTGTTGTTTCTCTTACAAACCATTTGTAAGGCTACTCTGACTGGAACACAAACTCCTAGATATATGGAAAGATATTTTTAGTTTTCTGTTGTGCACTTCAGCAGCTGAAAATAAGCCAGAGCCAGGATCAGGCACGTGACCAAACTAACTTGCCTGAATAAAAATTGCTCTTGCAGCAGAGAAATACATGATTTACAGTATAATAAAGCTTTGGTGCCAGTAAGATAAAAAGACCCCTCACCAATACAGAAACCAAGAAATGCTTGCTTCTTTTTTACTAAAAGGTATATGGTAATTCAGAAGGACTAATTAATTCAGGCCCTGCTTTGAGTGTAGGCTTAAGAGGGAGAGACTTCGAGAGATCCTTTCCAACCCAGATCCTTCCACTATAGGATAATTCTAATGGTGCATCTGAAAGGACAGCAGGCAATATCACACACAAAAAAAAAAAAATCCTTTCTGGCCCTCAAAACAATTACTCAAAGGGGTAAGTGTACCCTGTTGTCTCAGCTAGACAGAAATCCTTGAAAAACAAGCAAATCTGGCACACACAAAGCACGTCTGAGTCTAGGAAACATGCCTTGTGTACATATGCTGGTTTAGGTGACTGCCCAGAAAGTCTATGGACAGAAATCATAGAATCCTAGAATGGTTTGGGTTGGAAGGGACCTCAAAGATCATCTAGTTCCAACCCCCCTGCTGTGGGCAGGGACACCCTCCACTAGACCAGGTTGCCAAAAGCCTCATCCAACCTGGCCTTGAACACTTCCAGGGATGGGGCATCCACAACCTCTCTGGGCAACCTGTTCCAGTGCCTCACCACTCT